TGCAGTACCTCTGTGAGCGTGTGTGTGTGTGTGTGTGTGTGTGTGTTTCTGGACTCTCTACTCTTAGTTAAATGTTTGAGTTCCTCTGATGGGGGGTTAGTGTATTTAATTATATAATGGTTATTTTTTAGATTGAATTAATCACATATTTTTAGACAGAGTAATAGTTGAATAGTGTGTGCTGTAGTTACTGTATATGCCGAGTCATGTCTTACTCAATGGTCACATGTTTACTGAGCTCACTGTGTACAAGGGTTGAACACATAAAACACTCATAAACGCATTATCGAAAATATTTTCACCTTTTCAAACGTTTCTTTTCTCTCCAGCTTTTAGTAGTTAGTAGTGTGTGTGTGTGTGTGTGTGTGTGTGTGTGTGCGTGAGTGCATACTTTAGTATTTCATTGCTGTATGGATTAACATTATGGAGTCAATATGTATTCTATGTTTTACAATAAAGCACATTACATCTACGACTGTGTGAAATGTGCAATTCAAATTAAAACGGATTCATTGATTGGCCTCACACATGATGTAGGTGAATGTAAATAATAATAACACAATCACATACAGATGTCCCACAACACTGCGACTTTTGAGATGTTGAAAGAATTCAGTTTTTCTATAGTCTGTTTCAATGAGGTAATTATTGTTTTGTCAGGTCTCAAAGTTTGGATCCGTTGGAGATGTTTTGTATTACAGGTGTTAGCGGTCATCCTCTACTTCATTACATTTACTGTCTTAGCGAGTGATCATATATATTTGTGTGTCAGGTTATTCAAATTCCCAGTCTAAAGAAAGTGTCATGGTCATCTTCAATTTTCCTCAACTTCTAATGTCTATTTTTATCTGCATTTACTCTGGTTGTTAAACTCACCCAGAAAATGGAGCCACAGTAGTCCTCCAACGCTGCAGCACACATGGCCCACACGTGTGGCTTCAGTTGCTCTCAGAAGACTAGACAACAAAGTTGCCTTTTGCCCTCTGCTCAAACGCTACTGAGAGTAACTCAAACGCTCCGTCACTCTCCCCTGTCCACCCACACTCCAGAGACAATTGCAGGACGTGACTCTGAGGGACTTAAACCCATGAAGACTTTAAAGCCAAAAGAAAACCTTGGGACTTCCTCGTGCAAAGACAACACATTAGTGTGCCGAAACTGTTGAGGATTTACGTGAAGAGCAGGAGCAAGTGAGTTAGTAATTAACTTGGGTCCCGATCTCTTTCTTTTTTAGGCTCAAAGTTGCTGTTTAATCTTAGCCAGTCCTCACAGCTCGTCTGTCAACTGCCAGAAGCACACACACACAAAAAGGAGTCCTCCTAATGTAAATAATCCAAATGTAAATGAGACCACTCAGTCTTTAGATCCGCCCCTGAAACACTCTCCTGTGTTCGAATTTGTCTCAACATTTCATGCATGGAAGAGGACAAAGGGAGACATAACATTGCACAAGTTCTCCTCAAATGGTTTTCCTCTGTTAGGGGGATGGACAACCAAAAACATGAGAATGGGAGGGGTGCTCAGTCTATCCCATGTGTTTCCACTCACTCTGAACCATTTTCACCAAAGTCACATTAGATTAATTTCTGGTGGTAATTTTGGGAGAGGGAAGATTTGTTATTCTCCACAAACAAATATACATGTTGTTTAGAGGAGTTTAAGTCAAGAGACAGATTAACTTCCTTGGTGAGTTCCCTCTGCAGATTCAGACCAAGGATAGTTTACTGTGATGATCCCAAATACAGATAACCCTACTGATTGCGTGAATGGTTAATCATTTCATGTATGATAACAAAGAAAATGGTGGCAGAGTGGCTGACTCATTGTGTGTACAGCCTCAAGGACAGCCACGTGAAGCAAAGGTGAGCACGAAGAGTTGCCTTAGAGAGAGAAAAGAAGATATAAGTAGGTTATCATATATTCTTTCCGCCCAAGGCTCTTTGAACAAAACATGTGACTATGTAAACTTGTGGTGAAAAGGTCCAGAGCGAGCAGATATCCACAGTGAGATGCTTGTTTCTGTCTGTGAAAGTGAAGTTGGTTTTAGGTTCTATTGTCATTAGCATTGTCTTCAAACTCAGATAATAATAACTGATATTGGTTTTGAAATCTCTAAATTGCATGACAGTCATCCAGGTACATGTGCACATATACAACTGTGTGTGTTTCTTAAAGATGTTACACATCTCAGCTTCTTCAGTTCTAAATGAGTAGTGGTTAGTAGTAGTAAACTTGGCTGGATCTGGATAGTGATCTGGATTTTATGAATTGAAAGATATATTTTTATTAGGGGGGATGGTCTTTATTCAATTTATGTACAGTAACAATTATTTCTTTCAACTATATCAGATAACAGATATATTGCCTGCATTTAATGTGAGCAGTTTTTTTTGGTGCATAATTTTAACTAACAAGTTAAATTCAGCACAAAGAAAGAAAAAGAGATGCTTCACCTTTCATTTGACTTCGCAGTGCTCCTGATCATTGTAACAGCAGTTGTCACCAGAGGCCATTTGTGAAAGGTGTTGAAAATCACCCAAATGCAACTGTTCTGAAATATTTAAACTCATTGAATTTCAATTTTAAATATGATGAATTACACTAAACCGTTTGCCTTTTCTTGCTCTCCAGTTAAGATAATTACCTTAATGATCCCTTCAGGGGAAACTCTATTTATCATAACAGTGGGGAGTAGTAGTGCAAGGGAACATCAAACAACCGCATCAAACCAAACAGAGTGCGTCCCCTCTGGCTCTCCATACATTACAGGTTCTGTTACTTTTACCCAGAGTTACCCATGTGCGATCACACTTTGTGTGTGTGAGTATGTGTGTTATAAATCATACTGAATTACAGTAGCAATATTGAAGTAAGTTTGCTTAGACAGTCATGTTTCCTGAAGGAGAGATCATTTTATGGGGAGATCTTGAGTTATTCTGACAAAGTTGTTTTTTGGGTCAGTTCTTGTACACAATTTAACCTGTGGTATAAAACTGTTTTCTTCTGACTTCCTATTGGTCAGCTCCTTCACTTAATGACATCACAGGGTCATTGACTCTCAAATATATCACTTAGAATGCTGCTTGTGAAGTCACTTCTTACTGCGAGATACTGAGACTTAAATAAGTAGCCCCAGCTCAACACCCATAAACATTAAGATAATGAAATACCTGCCCTAACTCAAACACCTCATAATTACAGCTACAGTAGCTGGTGTAAACAAAGCATTAATATACCCAGTTTCATCAATTTAGTACTTCAGTACCGGGGTTATTAGATGAACAGTGAACAATGAAACAAAGTACACTCAAGTGTTGAAATCTTCTTACTTTTATTAGATTCTTCTCACAACATTGGATCAAGTCATTGTGTTTGTGGTTGTAAAAAATAAAGTACAGGAGGTCACAGCTTTGCCTAACTTCCATTGTAAATACAGAGCTGTAACTGAATACAGGTCAATTACAATGCAAATGGAAACCCATTGTTTAGAAAACAGCTAGGGCTTTTAACGAGCACATTTTTAATCTTTAAGTTAAATTACAATTTACAGAGATACTTTAATGGACTGCACATCCCAACAGGCAGTGAGGCCGTCCCTGAGCTCTTACTTTAAAAGGACTGTTTTCATCAGTGATTAGAAAAAAAGTGGAGAAAAAGCACTCTGTGGCAATTCCGAAATTATTCAATGGCTTGTCAGTAAAATTACTCGTGGTCACTTTTGAGGTATCTTGTCTTTTATCAGTCATGATTGTGCAGTACCCATTCACAAGGTATTTCTGGCGATTGCATTTAGAGTGCGGACTTTGCTCACATCTGCCACCTTCAGGCCATACTCGGGTGCTGAGAAAGCAGCTCCCATCGTCACACATGTGTTCCTGCGCATGAAAACGTTGCTGCTCAGATGGCAATAACAAAACTTTTAATTTCTTATCCCATCTTTGAAATTTTTCATATTAATTGAGGCTGAATGTAAACAAACCTGAACTTCATGGCAGAATCCCTACTGGAGCGGGCTGAGGAGTGAAACTCTTGAGCTCCTGATCCCTCCAAAATCCTCTGTAGATTCCTCTCTGTGATACCTCCTCCTGTTGCACAGAACGTATAAACAAAAGGGCTGAAAACAACTCATAAAACACATGTAAATGGTGAATCTTTTCAAACAATAAAGGCACTGACCTGGCATTATGACAATTCTGCCTTTAGCCTGTTGAATGGAGATTATGATATCAAATTAAAAGCTGACCTTCACAGTTAAACAAGCACTTATATGTTTGCACACATACTTGATCAATGATCCGTTTAATGAGAGGGAGTCCCTCCAGAGCCGAGCTGTCACAGCCACTTGTCAACACGCGCTCGAACCCTAATGATACCAGAGTCTCCAGAGCAACCGTTGGATCATGAACCAGATCAAAAGCTGCGGCAGGATCAATATTACAGTACACAACACAACTGAGTACATCCCTGTGCAATATCCCTTACATACTGATTCAAAATTATTTTTAAATTTAAGTGTAGAGTAATTTATCTATAGTATGATTAAGTGTAAACAGGTTAGTTAGATTCGAATGAAATACAGGGCCCAAATCAAAACCTCCATGCAACAAAAGTCAGGTTACCTGTCATCATGACAGCAAGAGTGTTTACATTTACATCTGTGATTTCTAATCAGAGTGAGTGGCATGAAGAAACTTGACTGAGAGACTTGAAAATGATGTGAGAGGATAGAAGATCCTCAGTAAGATACTGAACATAAAGTATAACACAGCTGCAGTAGCAGCTAGGTACCACTATACTGATAACAGGTGAGTGTCCTCTTAAAATGGAGGATGCTCAACTCCCTGTTTGCGCAATCTTGTCCTGAAAAATAGATGGGTCCGTGCTTCTGACTTGGCACAAGCATTATCTGTGGAAAATTGAGTTTTAGCGAATTCTCAGACACTGTGGATTCCCTATGAATTACAAGATGAAACTTTGCACAGGTACAAGAAAAGAGGCCTAATGAATTTCAGCAGGAACCGTCTTTGGTCAGATGAAAGGGGGGGGGTTGCCATGAATTTTTTCAGGTCTATTTGCTTTTGCTTACCTCGGTGGAAGGTGACAGGCAAAGGACGAGCAGCAGCTGGAGAGAAAACAGAGATAATCAGAAAACTCAAAGTTGAACTAGAAGTAAAACATTTACATTACCTGTTATAATTACCAGCAAGGATGAAAATATTTTTTTCTTTATTTATAAATGATTTGTTTCTTTGAGGACTACGAGGTTAATTTCTCACCACAAACATTGCAGCAGGGCTCCTGGCAAGTAATTTATGATATTGAATGCTGCACATATTGAGATGCCTTTAAAGAGGGGACAGATTTCTGTGTACCTTCCCCTGAGCTGACTAATGTGTGCAGATTTTAATAAGCACAAAACCTTTTCACCGCTGTCATTTTAACTCGTCATTGTCATCTGGTGTAAATTCCATAACAGAACAGGTAAGTGCAATCCTGTCATTGTTAATATTAGTAATCATATCTGTTCCTTTCCTGCTATAATCTTATCCCCAGAGAGGAATGTTTTTCATCCTCTCAGCAATGTTAAGAACAAATGCCGTTTTTTAATTGCCTTGGCACATGAAAAAAAAACAAGGATTCCTCATTTACTTTCAGTGTCTGAAAGTCAAATTAAAAATGACATTTTGATTAGGCAGGATGCGTTTTGGCGACATTTAAAGTTAGAACATTGCATCTTACATGACATTTCTGTTGTGTTTAAATGTTTTTCTTTATCATGGACTGTTTTAGTTTAGTCCTTTTTGAGTCTATATAGCTCAAATACACAGGCAGAAAATACCTAGCAACTCTATACAGAGTTCTGCATCCACCCGTCCATCCTCCGTCAGGGCTCCCAGCACCAGTCCATCAGCCCCATGGCTCTTCATCAGCTCAATGTCCTTCCTCATCACCTCCACCTCCTGGTCTGAGTACAAGAAGTCCCCTCCACGAGGCCTTATCATGGCATAGATGGGAATTTTGACATGCTGCTTCACGACCTGCAGCAGACCTGTGGCAAAATAAATAACTGTGAGACCTGTAACAGTGTGTGCTCGCCATGTTTCAGATTCTCAGTGAACATCTGCTGAATGATGATGCACAATGCTCACCGAGACTGGGAGTGAGGCCTCCCTCCAGGAGACTGGAGCACAGTTCAAGTCGGCCTGCACCTGTGCAGAGACAAACACTCATAGCAAACAATCTTCCTGTGTGAGCATGAGCCTTGAGAAATGAAATGACCAGTATGCACTTCGCTGTAAACTCAAGTCAGGCTATTTACAGCGCTTCGGCCGACTCGGATTAACAGCTTTCATGATGTATTTCGAACAGAGTGAGTAGGTCCTGCTGGGTTTAATACAAGAAGCTCAGCAGTGTTTACTACACATCACTGACCTCCTCGTTCAGCATTGATGGCAGACTCCACAGAGTCCACACACACCTCCATCAGAAAGCCCTCTGCCATACTGACACACACACACACACACACACACACACGGGCAGAAAAGGATTGTTAGTGAATCTGTTAGCTTACACGTACACATTGCTAAGCTAACAACTTTAGCTATCTGTCAGACTCACTTCCTCTCGATACATGGGACCGTGTCTGGGGGCGGACTGACGTCAGTGTGTTGTCTGACGGACTCAGTTTTCCTGCGGCCAGAGAAATCTGTGGATCAGCCATTTCCCGGTTGTTACATTTAAAACACCAGGTACAACGGGTGGGCGGTACTTAGCTACAGGAGCGTGACCGCCCGTGCGGGACACGCTGTAGTTCAAAACACTGAAGAATCACCTGAGCGCATCCGTACTGAAACGTATATGAAAATAAATAAATAAGAATATTCATATTAATATCATTTATGCGAGGTATTGTGTTTACCGTTACAAAAAAAAGATACAAAATAAAAATCCGCCAATATTACATTTCCTCGTCGCGCAGTTATGACGTCGGGAGGTGAGAGTTGAGCCTGCGTTAGGAAACATGTTGTGTAAGTCATAATAAATCCATGGTAACAGCTCGTAGCTCTCTCCAAAGCTTCATCTTTCACTTCAGGACGACAGGACGACAGAGGAGGACCCGGACATGTTACTGTCTTCAGTACGGACCGCCATGTTCTGCGGCTGTAGAGGCGCCAGCAGAGGATTTCAACACAGCAATGTGAGTATACAGCTAGCCGGCGGTTAGCTAGCTAGCTAACTGGGGCAGCATTAAAAAGGTCAGACAGTTTGCAAGTTATCAAAACATATCGGGCATCATTGAAAAAAGTCCACGCAGCTACATGTGCAGCGTTTCACCTTCGTGTTTGAGTCTGCTGAGTGTTGTACTCATCAGCAGTCACGTCCGCATGTATGGGATAACGTGACCTCACCATCATTGTTTGGAGCTGGAACTGTCTCAATAACAAAGCTGCAGGGAAATCACAGTGATAAACACTTTGGGGGCTCTAATTGTGTGAATGCGCTGATTGTGAAATAAAATATTTAATTCATTAGTATTTTGTTAAAATAATAAATCCTGGATCTGTCCCTGATTCAGATCTAAGTCTAAATTCCACATGTTCCCCCCCTGACCCATTGTGACTCATTCCACAAAGTTTTGTGGTAATCCATTTAGTTTTGCATCATCTTTTTTATAGATAAACGGACAGGGATGAAAACATCCTTGGTGGAGGTAATGATAGCATTAAAAAGAGCTCATTTTAATTGCAGTTAAAAAGTTTAAACAGCAGAGCATTTCTATGCATCTTATAGGAATCAAATAAATGTAAATTTTCATCCCAGAGGGTAATTACACAATATTTAAAACAAAATACCAAGGGCCTGTCTCATTTGATAACTACTGCATTGTGAATTGCTGCCAAAATAAAATCTAAAACAATGATGGAAATGTTAGTTTGTATATCTCACTATAAAGAACACAGTCTGTGATATTTGCTGCAGCTGATCTTCATATCAATCCTAAATTTGGTACAGTTGAGGTGTTATGTTATTGTGTGTTGCAGCATTAAGATTTTCCCTAGTTGGAATTTAAGGACATAGCCCAAACCATAGGAATATCCACATACATTGACCATAGTGATGTACATCGCATGTGACAATTGTTGTGGTAATTACCTGAATGACAGTTCTTTCTTGTTTTTAAAATCTTTCTTTCTCCTGTTCTAAAACAGCGGAGTCCACAGCTAAGAAAATGGCTTGTGAAGAGAAGTCAGAGCACAATCGCAACAGAAGCGGAGGCTGCCTCCGTCCAGGCGGCAGCTTCTGTCCCCAACGTCGCTACAAATCGCATCCTAGGTCGCTGGTTACTTGGCTGCAGCGGGCTGGTTGTTGGGGCTGTTGTCTTGGGTGGTGTCACCAGGTGACTTAACAGTATATAAGGAATCATCCCTCTTGTATTTTTAAGTGCTGCTGATAGGTTCTTACTGTGTAAGTGCCTATGTTTTATTCAGGCTCACAGAATCTGGGCTCTCCATGGTCGACTGGCATCTGGTGAGAGAGATGAAGCCGCCTCAGTCACAAACAGAGTGGGAGGCTGAGTTTTCCAAGTACCAGCAGTTTCCTGAATTCAAAATGTAAGACCCCGTTATTATCAAGACATACACTTGCACAGGTTTGAAGTCACGAATCATCAAAAATCTACTTTACTACAGTCACTTTGAAATTGTTTCATCACAGACTAATATTTGACAACTAAATTTAAGATACATATACAAGCAGATTTATATTTTAATCGTATATAAAATCTGCACTCTGTACAAAAAAATATGGGTTGACTTTTGAATTCCCTGTTTCACTTTTGTTTTTCGCAGAATGAACCATGAAATGACTCTGCCAGAGTTTAAGTTTATCTTCTACATGGAGTGGGGTCATCGTATGTGGGGCAGACTGGTTGGTCTTGCATACATCCTCCCCACAATCTACTTCTGGCGAAAAGGATACTTTACTCGCTCCATGAAGGGAAAAGTGCTGGGGCTTTGTGGATTTGTCTTCTTCCAGGTAACACTCAGTGGTGATGAGAGAGAGAGTGATCGTTGGAAATTAATCCCTATCTCACTCTTAGTCTTAGGTTTTTCTAGAGCCAGTTGGGCCTAGGGTTCTAAAGAAAACACATGAATGACTGTCATTGTGCGTCTCCTCAGGGCCTTCTGGGATGGTACATGGTAAAAAGCGGTCTGGAGGAAAAGCCGGAGTCTCATGACATCCCACGAGTCAGCCAATATCGCCTGAGTGCTCACCTTGGTTCTGCTTTGCTACTCTACTGTGCCAGTCTCTGGACAGGGCTTACTCTGCTGCTGCCTGCACATAAGGTACAGACACCCTCTTTAGCTTGCTTATCAAATAACTGTTGTTGAGTATTAGCAAGAAAAACCCTTCTGAGTATAGCCTGGCCAATATGAGATGCTGACACTGATTGTTGGAAGTAATAAATTACATTACAGATAAATTCACCCAATTTTCTTTCTAGATGTTTAAACCGTACATACATATACAATGGGGTCCAAAAGTCAGACTATTTATCAATTCAGGGCAACTGGTCTCAGACTTTTGCACATTTTATTGCAAGGTGGTTTTCCTTTTTATTCATGTCTGCTCTCTGCACCTGTTTCTCAGATAGCAGAAACCAGAAGTCTTATGCAGCTCAGGAGGTTTGCCAAGGGCACTGGTGGACTTGTCTTCCTTACTGCTCTTTCAGGTACTGACCAATTTTTTTGTCAGTTCAGTGTCAAAGACATAATTTAGCCGGAGATAGCACTGATCAATATCTGCAGTCAACCATGACATATGCAGATCTACACCCAACTCTGTCAAAAATGCTTTGTTGCAGGTGCTTTTGTTGCTGGTTTGGATGCCGGGCTGGTGTATAACTCCTTCCCTAAGATGGGAGAACGGTGGATCCCTGACGATCTGCTGGCCTTCTCTCCCACCCTCAAGAACATCTTTGAAAATCCCACAACAGTGCAGTTTGACCACAGAATTTTGGTGGGTCATCATTTCTGAAAAGAAACATTTTGGGCAATATTTTAATTTAAACATCATTTGTACCCCTCTCCTTCATATTTTCAATGGAATAAGAGGCAGCAGTTGTTGACAGTCTTCTCTCTCTTCTTTTTGTCTCTAGGCCATCTCCTCTTTGACTGCAATTACAGGTCTCTATCTGTTCTCAAGAAGGATGATGTTGCCCAGGAGAGCAAAGGTCGCCATCAGCCTCCTTGCGGCAATGGCTTATGCACAGGTAAGCTGGAAGTCATCCCAGAACCATATAAACTCAAGTCTATTAATCTTCAGTGTTATTAAATTCAAATTATATTGTACTCTTCAGGTTGCCCTCGGTATCAGCACCCTGTTACTGTATGTCCCCACCCCACTGGCAGCAACTCACCAGTCTGGCTCCGTGGCTCTTCTCTCGCTGGCTATTTGGGTTCTGGCAGAGCTCCGCAAATTACCAAAGTAAAGGCCTGCTCCTTTACTGACAAATCCAGTCCCCATGAGCCACAGCTCAAGTCTCTAAGAGTCGTGACATTTTGAACAAGGCATTTTGTAACTACTAGAAAAAAATATTAAAAACAAATGTTTTTCATTTAACAGTGAAGTATCTGTCCTGTTGGTCACAGTTATGCACACAGATATGAAAGCAGGGCTGTTATTGTAGTGCTGTGAAGGGAAATTACACAAATACATTGAAGCTGTCATCAAAAGATATGAAATTAATTTAAGGTGTTTTGCAAGGAATTAAAAAAAGGCCTGCTAAAGCAAAAACAAGTGATATCTTTCAGTTTCTGTTCAGCTTTAATGACACAGCCACAGGATTTCAAGTTTAGTATACAAACTGTATTTGGTTTTAAAGACTGAATTACTTTTTTGTTCACTTACACAGTTTTAACTGGAAAGAAAATCTTGTTTCCATGTTATTACTCACCTGTTGCCTTGTGTCTCCTCGTACACTGCCTGTTAGTTGAATTAGATGTGGCTGTTGGGATGATGTAAAATGATGTACATTTAAATTATGAACCATTTGTTGCTGACATTGTATTGACATGATGTGAACTATAATGGAAACTTGATTAATGCTTTGTACTGTATATTTAGACATGTAGAGCTGAAAGCACTGTCTTAATTTAATAAAGACAAATATGTACAGTCTTTAAAATTCAAACTCCAGTCCATTTTGCATAGTAACTGTGATTTTTATTGTCTCTGTACAAAATATACACATTTTTAAATACGTAATGCAACCAGCTGAGGCTAGCTAACTAGACAATTGGTACAACGGGTTAGTAGGTTTTTTATTGTTCTAGACACAGTACATGCGGGTATAGACAGGTTTTACTCTTGGTCGGGAATGGAAGTTAAAAAACTGTTTGCAAGGAACAATCAGAGCCAAACCACTTTTTGTCCCCATCCTCGAAATAAACAATTAAAGGAAGAACATAAAAGAAAATCAATTGCAGGTTTAGAAGTGCATATTTTCATCAGGGCCTTAGTGCACCCTTATAGTGTGCTCTGAGAAGAAGGTGAAGTTGGAGGTTGAAAAGATGCTGATAACAAGGGAGAGAAAATTATTGCTATTCCACGTTAATGTCTGCAATTAAAAGACACTGCAGCCTATTGAAGTATAGCTCAAGTGCCTCTGGTACTCAGAGTCCTAGAGTGAAAAGGAGCAAATTAATAAATGGTTGCAAATTCTTCAAAAAAAAAAGATTTATTCATGAAAAGCCTAACGTGTGGGTTCACAATCAAAAACTACTCTTTAGTGTATCCACAGTGACAATTTACCAAACCTATCTCTGATTGCACCTTGCCCTACTTAATACACAGCATCTCCCTCTCTCTTCACCCACGGGTGGGCTGCATGTCTTAACATACCTCTTACATCTTCTCTTTGGTGTTACAGAGAGAGGGAGAATAAGGAATGAGAGGGCGGGCATAAATTAAAAATGATTAAACCATCTCTCTCACTCTAACTAGTACACACCCACATACGGTGACTTTTTTTTAAGGTGAATTAAACAAATTTGATGTAATAAGGGATTTTCAGAATTTTTTTTTTTTTTTGAAGTGGTAGAACCTGCTACAACCACATGACATTTCTGATTACAAGAAGTTCACAAATACAATCTGCGATCTAATAAATTCCCCTCAGATGTGTATTGATGACTAGTGCGACTGTGGCATGCCAGTCCCTCTTTTTAAGAGGCTGGGATGGTCTCGTCAACTACTGTGCAATCCCCACATTTGTACTGTCTAATACCACACCACTGGGAATACTAGGAAATGTACAATAGATAGTCAATAGACAACTACAGCTAAAACTGTAATAGTTTGGAAGGCCGGGAATTATTCTACCAGAATAATGAATGGAGGCGGGTGTCCCGTCACATCAGGTAAGAATGGATGACATCTCTTTCTGTTACACATGCACACACACGTACACAAAGGGTGAGGCACCTGTGAATGACTAGGAACAGCAGACAGACAAGCAGACTTTGGAGTATCTCTGTAAATACATAATTGGATATTAGTGACATCATCATGCGATATTGAAATCAGTTCCTCGTGGAAAACGACAGGTTTGAACCAAACAGGATCACTTGGATTTCCAATTCATCAGCTGTTCGCCTTAAGAAGTGTCTTTCTCTCTGTCTTGTCCACTAGATGGCAGGAGATTTGTTTCTATTATCACAGCCGGTGCATGAGCAGTTCGATGTTACCCACTTGCACAAAAGCAGGATCAGATTCACAAATCCACATCTCAGCTGTCACAGGGAAAGAAGGGAAACATGTTCTTAGGTTACGGTCTGGAGGAAAACTACTTCCCTATTGAGTTCAGCCACGACAGGCTGTGAAAGTTCATCAATAATAGTAATAAATAAAAGTACAAAAAAAAAAGAGTTGTGGGGTCTTGGTTGTGCGAGTTTCTTTGAAATCCCTGCTTGCCATCTTTCCTTGTATCTCTGGGATAAAACTTAAGTTCTGCATGATGAGGAAGGAGTTTGGGAAACTCCATCGTTTCCACTGGGCGTCCGGGAAGAGAGGCCTCTCCGTGCCCTAGGGACTCTCAGCTCTTAAAAGAGACACAAGCACGAGTGCTTGCAGGTCAGAAATCAGCCACACAGACACACACATTCACAAACTCTTCAATCTGGATTCCGCTTACACACGCACACACACGCACACCCTCGCTGGTGCCAGCGTCCTAACTGGTCCAGATGTTTAGATGACATTGTCAAACAGCTGCATGGACTGCATGATGTTCTCATCCTAGACAGAGAGGAGAGGTTTAGATGAGGAGGCAGTGTCGTGTCTCATTATCACTTACCCACACGATTCCTGGGAAAACCAGCTTTCACTTTTCACTTTACCTTTTTGCAAGACTCTATGAACTCCTCTATGGTGACCACCCCATCTTTATTCCTGTCCATTTTCTGAAAGTAAAACACGACAGCCAGAGATGAACTAATTGAAAAGTTATTACACATTATGTACATTATATTCTTTTATAGAACAACATCAAAAGGACTTCCCTGGTTTCATGAATCCTAAAATGAAGGGTTGAAAAAAAGGTAAAACCTGGAAGAAGCTTTCCACATGTTCTCTTGGGGCGTCGTCCTGCATAGTGGGGTATGTGTACTTCCCCATCATGTCATAGATGGACTTCATGATGTCCAACATCTCCTGCAAAGTAAAGGAAGCAAAATAAAGCAGAGGATTGGACTGAACTACAATTACCACCCTTTTTTTCCTCAGATTCATGAGGTCACAATGACCTTTGACCTTTGACCACTGATATCTAATCAATTAATCTTTGTGTCTAAGTGACAACTGGTCAAAATTTGTCTGCTTCCCTGACAGTAGACTTGAGATACAGTGTGTTCAAGAGATATGTCTTGTGAGGCTGAGGTGGCATTGACCTTTGACCTTTACAATCCAAATCTAATCAGTATATCTGTCAATCAAATGGAGCGTTTGTATATAACGATAAGGAGATATGTTCAAAAGAATGGGATGGACAATCCCAAAAGAACTGACTATTATTTTATTTTCATTTTTCCTCCTCTTCAGGCTAATATAACATTATTTGTTTTATTTTTATTTAATGTTGTTGAATATTTATTTTATAATAGCTGATAGGTATAATAGTTATAGAAGTGAAATCATAGTTGCGGCCATATCACAAGTTATGTTTGACATAATGGAGCAGAGTTCTAAAAAAAAAAAAAAAAAGGTTGATATATAAATTGATCAAACACTGAGGACACCTCCTCATTGTCCTCAGTAATCTCCCCAAATTACTTTAAGTCTAAGATAGATATACTACTGCTTTAATTCAGAGCTACTGTATCCAGGCAACATGTGTGAGTTACCTCTTTGGTGATGCAGCCGTCCTTGTTCAGGTCGTAGAGGTTGAACGCCCAGTTTAGCCGGTCATTAATGGTCCCTCTCAGGATGATAGATAGGCCAAATACAAAGTCCTGAGAAGGCAGGGGGAGCAATTTACTGTATTGTTTTGGTATTACTTAAATCTCGACACAAAAAATGAAGTCAAATCTTTATCACAGCATGAATCTCTGTGGACTGTCGTGCAGAGGGAACACGTACAGTGCAGTTATTTGTGTGATGACTTTCACTGGACCACACGTTCGCCTAGAAAACGGACATAAGAACATAGCTCACCTCAAAACTAACCGAGCCGTTCTTGTTGGTGTCGAAGGCTTCAAACAGGAAATGTGCATACATACTTGAATCTGCAACGGTAGAGACGCACAGTCACCTGCGTGCCCTCAGAACACGAAGCCTTTGAAGAGCTGGGATTAGCAGCGAGATAAATATAGCCCAGATATAAAAATAATTTCAAATACAACTGGAGGCGAGTGGTTCAAGTTAAATATCATGGAAGAAAAATTGCCTTGCCTTTTCTCTGTGCACGTACGATATTTCAGCAGAGCACATTTACATTGAGTTAATTATGTTCCAGTCTATTGTGATGATGAAAAGCTACACATGCACCTCTGCAGAACCAAATAAATGATGCTGTTTACACGTCTACCTGTAATTCATGAAGAATGACGACAGAGTAACGTAAATGAAAGTGTTACAGATGGACCTCCTCAGGTTTAAAGGTAAGAACTGACAACTCACCTCCCTGAGGAAAGAACTGGGAGTAAATGTTCTGAAAGTTCTCCTCATTCACCACACCACTCGGACACTCCTGGGACACACATGTGTGAATTTAGAAAACTAATTTATTCTCATCTAGCACAGAATAAACAAAAGACATGGTGAAGACACCAGCTCTCGCCAGGCCGACTCTGATCTGACTGTAGCACCACATCTCTTTTTTTCGTTTATTCATATGTTTCTTATCACTTCTGCCAGACCTACATTTTTGAAGCCCCTGTAGAGGACCTGCAGCTCCTTCTTCGTGAACTTGGTCTGCTCCTGCAGCTTGTCCATACTTTCAGGGCGATGGCACACGGTGGATAACTCAAAATCATCTTCCACGCTGTCTGTGTGAGGGAGAGGAGAGACCAGAGCTAGTTTGCATTCATCACCACTACACCCACTAATTACCACCCCCGGGGAAGGTCAGTGACCCGGGCACAACATATTTTAATTAAGTCATCAAACTGATAGTGAGCACATCATACACTACAAGTCCTGAATGTCATACACAGAGCAATTTAACATTCTTTCTCATAACAATGTTAATCATTATTTTATTATTTCGCTGAATGAAAACAGGAGTGAATGCAATTTTCTATACATAATCATGAGGGTACATAGACCAAGCAACTTGCCTCACATCTTTGTTCCAGTAGAAGTTATATTACATCCTATCACAAAACACAACATGGGGAGTAAAATATTATAAGTGTCTGGGGAGAGTCCTGTAATGTGGAAGCGATAGGATTTAGTTTTGTAGAAATTAAAATTGCAAAGAAGACATATTTTTAAAGGGGAAACTAACAAATAAAGCTCCCCCATCCAATATACACATGTACCGTATAAAAATATGTCATGAATCGTAAGTTCTCAGACCTCTAGAACCTGCTTTTGACCTATCTTTCTCTCTGACACACAGAGGTGTGTGCAGCTTACAACTTTGCCTGAAGCCTAAGTTTAACCTAACCACAATTCACATC